TAACGATATTGATTCGATATCGTTAAGATATGAATATCGATATCGATTCCATATCGATGTGATATCATTATGATATCGAATCGACATAGATATCGTAACGATATCGATTCGATATCGTTACGATATTATTGCGATATCAAATCGATATCGTTAGAATTTTAAGGGTTTCTGTAAAGTATATTTATATAGTTATGTAATACATAATATATGCAATCATATAATATAATAATTGATTTAGATATTATTGATCTATCTCTTTACTTATCTATTCTTCAAGTAAAGAAAAAATACAAAGGTCTTACATGTTAAAATATCATTTATTAAAATTATTTTTCTTATCTATCTGTTTTATCGCTAACTACTTTTATTATAAGTGAAATTTATAATTTGTAAATCTTTTCAAAAAATAAAGTTTAAAATCTTACACGTCAAAATACTATTTACCAAAAATTTGGTTAAATAATTATGTCTTTTAAGTTGCCTATAGATAACTTTGTTAACAAGGTTGATATCATTTATGAAGAAGATATTTATGTAAAGGTAACTTAATATTTTATATGAATATTTATATATAAAGTTTTTATATAAAATAACAAATATTTATGTATAAAATAAATAAGATAATAATAAATCTTGCAATATATATAATAGCCAGATAATATTTTAATGCAAGCATTGAAAGAAGATGCTGAAATACATCTTATGATACATATGTCTATTAAGACAGTAATTCATTCACTAGTTCTGATTGAATATCTACTAACATGTGAAGAAGGTATCACTATATTGAGGGCTAGAATAATTAAAGAAGCAGCATTTACAAATGTATGTACATTAAATTTAAAAATAATATATTATCAGTTGAGTAAAATAATAATAATAATAGTTAATTTTAATTTTTAAAGATTCAATATCCTATAGGCAAACCTGATGGTTAAATAATATGACTTATCCTTATCTTGATGATATTGCTGTGAATAAAGATGATAAAATCTGTCAAGACATAAAAATATGCGAATTTGCAAGTCTAGAACTTCAGAAAATGTAGCACTAATCAGTAGATTCTGATTTAGATTTACATTTAAAAGTAAATGCAGAATTATCAACTAATAATATGGAAAACAATACATTTGTATAAGTATTACTATTTGTGTAATTTGTTATAATAATTATTTAATAATTAACTTTAATTATTTTTAGTGAATATTTAGCAGCTTATAAAACCAAATGTAAATATATCACATAAAATGGATCGCAATCAGTGATACCTGATAAAATTACCTTTCTTAATATAATGAAATTATCGAAACTGAAATGATAAAACTAGTTTTTTATTAATGACAAAATTATTTTACTTAATTGCCAAAATTATATTTAACTTGATCTAAATTCCTTGAATTAAAATACATTAAAAAATATAATAATTTTATATTTATTCATATAAAAATATTAAAAAGACGAAACTTTTGACGAAATTATAATTTTTTAAAAAAGAGTTTAGTCAGGTATCACTAATCATAATGCATTGGAAAACCAGTATTAAAATATTTAAAACATCATGATAATACAACTACACTATCTTATTTTATTAGTTGTAGTGAATAGAAATTAAATAAAGGTCATTAAATTATTAAAATTAATAATGACAATGTAGATCTTAACCTACTTCATTAACTTTAGATGGGATATATAAGGTTTAATATAATTTTTATGTATTACATTTACGTATTTAACTAAATATTTAATTATTTAAATTTTTTTTTTTTTTTAATTTTTATTATTTATTAGGAAGAATAAGATAAACTTGTATATAATTGCTTTATAGTATTATATAACAGTACAAAAAAAACATTGTTATAAGTTTTAAATATATATATAAAATATAGAATTTTTTATAATTTTTATTTATATAACTATTTATTATCATAAAAGTCATAAAAGTATATCTATATTGTGCAGGAAATACTGTTAAACAAGAATTTATAATTTGAAAAACATGTAGGATTAAATATTCTAAAATAGTTTTATTAGATATAGAAAAATACCCATATGTAATTCTCATATCTAGAAGTATTCATTCTTATCTATCTCCTCTACCTAACTGTATTCTAATTACTATTCATACTCAGTTACAAAATTTAATTCGCCAAACTAATGATAATATAAAAGATATTACTCCAATACATATTATAACAGAGCATAGCGGACATGCTTATATCATATATCAATCATTTTGCCGATCATATATAACTGAATTATCATATTATATAAAATCAGCTAATCTAGACTTTAAAGCTTTGGATAACAATGAATATACTTGGGCGAACTCTACAAATTAATAAATTTGATATTATAAATTATGCAAAATATGATTTTAAAATAGTTAATCAAAGATTAAACGTTATGCATGAGTTAACTTTGGACTGAAATAATTAATTATATAATTTATATAATAAATTTATTATTTTAGACTTCAAAGATTAAGGAAATACTATACATGCTTGTGCAAACTATACTGAATATTGTATTTAATATTTTAGATTATGTAGAATATAATATTAAAATTTCACAATAAAATTTTAAACAACACAAAAGTTAGCCTTGTATCAACTTTTTGA